AGCGGAGGAGTGCATCTGCCCCTCCTGCCTGAAGTAATAACAGCAGCAATGACTCCCGCAGCAGTAGTTCAGCCTGTAACAACAACCAGCCAAGTTGCTACTGCCTATTACGCTCGCACCAGAACTGAATTGCAGGATTTGTGCAGAGAATCAAGAATCCAACCTGAAGAAACTCTAGCTGTATGGTTGGGACGTTTGGTCGTGGAATTTGGGTCCGACCTGCTGAACCAGGAAGAAGCAAGCTTCTTGGTCAGACAAGCTTTGTGGAGTAGAGGACATGTCACTGACATCAACATGGTGGCGTTTAACGTTCACTGGCCTATTCCACTGCCAGCGCTTGTTGCAGGACTGATCGGTCAAAAAGCCCACGCATGGCATGACGGACGGCCAGAACATACTGGTGCAGAACAACTTATGCTAGCAATCATCGGAGTCTCGTACTGTGCCTGGAACCCCAGAGCACGTGTGCTGGGACTGACATCACTCCAGCGAATAAGACCATGGCCTCACCGTCAACTACGAGATCCTGGAACCGTTCCAGTAACCATTCACAGCGTAGATAGTTGTCTTGAGGTTTATGGGCGAAAGAACATCGTTGTCCTCCGGATTCTGCTTAACCTAATGGTGAACCAACCCATGAGTAACCTCCTTCGTCAGTTGTCACGACTGCGTACCCTGATGGAGCCAAGATTATCTAGTGATATGGAACGTCAACACCCGACTGAGGCTCAAGGCGCAAGACATTGCGAATCCGATCGTCCATCATTGCCACAGAGAACACCAGAGGAGCGATACATGTTTAGATTTCTCCTACAGCATTGTGGACTCAATAAGCGACAACTTCAGATTTTAGGGGACAGAGGCCAATGGCAACTGGCCTGAGTTAGGTTTCCATTATTTAGAAGAACTAGATGACGGCTCCTCGACGATTTCATCTAGTTGAGTGTGCAAGAGAAGGTAGTTTAAAGTAGCAAACACCTGTATTATATGTTTTAGAAATGATAGTGTAGTTCCATGGAAACTTTGTAAATATTTTGTTATACGTTGACTTATTTTTTGAGAGTTTTGTTTACAGATCCGGAATTCAGAGTGCGTGGCGGAGAGAAGCCCCAAGAAGGATAACATCATCGGAAGAAGTGAGGGCCTGACGCGCGACTTTGCCATGACGCCCACTGAAGCCCTGATCGTGCACATCTTTGTTATGAATCTGATTATGTGTATATGTATTTGTGCTGGTTATTATTTGATTCGATCCCTAGAGGACGAACTTATGTTAGCAAATTTTGTGTTTACCCGTTTAGTTCAGCGACCCGTGGTAAGAGCTCTTGATCACCCGAGTGACGAGCGTGTGGTATAATTCAGCTGTGCCTTCAGGGGTCTACTACAGGCCACCTAACCGGGGGGGGAAGAGCTGGACTGGGAATTCTCAGGTCAGCTCGCAGAGGCAGTCAAGTCAATGGACATGGTCATCCTGGGTGACCTAAACTACTCGGACATCTGCTGGGAAGAGCAGTCAGCCAGGTCTGACCACTCACGTAGGTTCCTAGCTGAGTTACAGGACCTCCATCTAACCCAGGAGGTGCACAGTCCCACCAGGGGAAATGCCTTGTTGGACCTGGTCCTGGCCACAGGCGATGACCTGGCGAGAGGACTGCAGATGCTTGACCACCTGGGCGATAGCAATCATCGCCTACTGGAATTCACTATCCAACGCAGAGTGTCAAAGGCCTGTAGCAAGGCAGCAGCCCTGGACTTCAGGATGGCGGATTTCAGTGAGGTAAGGAGACTAGTGAGGGAGGCACTGAGGTCCCGGAGGGGAGGGGAGTTGGGAGTCCAAGAAGAGTGGTTGTTCCTTAAGGAGACGATCCTCCAAGACCAAAAGGTGCCAATCCCCACACGGATCAAAGGGGGCAAGAGTGCTCAAAAGCCCGCATGGCTCACCAAAAGCATCCAGGAACATCTCAAAGCCAAAAAGGAGGGGTATACCCAAAGGAAGGGAGGGGCCATCACCAAGGAGGTTTATACCTCTACTGCTCAAGATTGTAGGGGGGCTGTTAGGAAGGCTAAGGCAAAGATGGAACTTGGACTAGCGACCCGGATCAAAAATAATATGAAGTCCTTTTTTAATATAGGGGGTAAAAAGAAAGTACCAAGTAACGTGGGGCCTCTGCAGGACATGCTTGGAAATCTGGTGGTAGCACCAGATAACAAACCTAATCTCTTTAACAGATTCTTCTCTTCCATTTTTCTGAGCAGGGACAGGGACATCCCCCCTCACTGGGAATCTGGACAGACCCAGGGGAGGCGCAGCCAGGTCCAGGGTCAGTGAGGACCTAGTCAGGGAACTTCTGGAGGGACTAGACGTGTTCAGATCAGCAGGTCCTGACGATCTTCAGCCCAGAGTGCTGAGGGAATTGGCAGAGGTCATTGCGGGACCCCTGGCACAGCTTTATGAGCACTCGTGGTGCTCTGTCACTATTGATTCCACGATGAACATAGGCCGCCAATGTGAGGATGTGGTCAGGAAGACTAACTACACCTTGTCATGCATCCACAGATGCTTTACGAGCAGGGCCAAGGAGGTGATCCTCCCCCTCTATGCAACACTGGTCAGGCCACAGTTGGCGTACTGCGTCCAGTTCTGGGCACCACACTTTTGAAAGGATGTGGACAGCATTGAGAGGGTCCAGAGGAGGGCCACTCACATGATCAGGAGTCAGCACGGCAGACCCTACAAGGAGAGGCTACAGGACCTGAACCTGTTCAGCCTTCACAAGAGAAGGCTGAGAGGGGACCTGGTGGCCATCTATAAACTCACCAGGAGAGTTCCCGCTCCCCCAAACACTACTGGGAGTAACAAGGAATAACAGCCATAAGTTGACTGAGAGTAGATTCAGGCTAGACATCAGGAGGCGCTACTTCACAGTCAGGGCGGCTAGGAGCTGGAACCAACTTCCAAGGGAAGTGGTGCTTGCCCCTACCCTGGGGATCTTCAAAAGGAGGCTAGATAATCACCTAGCCGGGGTCGTTTGACCCCAGCATCCTTTCCTGCCCATGGCAGGGGGTCGGACTTGATGATCTGCTTAGGTCCCTTCCTACCCTACCAACTATGACACTATCTTAATTTGGCCATTTACTAGCATCTTAATTTGAGCATGCCCTGGCCTCCTAATTTGGTCCATCTACCAAAACCAGAAATCCCAAGTGCTCTGCAGTTGGGCACTGTGACCTGGTGCCAATGCTGCAGAGTCCCTTATCTCTGTTATGGGTACACTGTGCAAGTTTCCCAGCCTGTTTATGTGGCTCCAGACAGCAGGTCTTGAAGGAAACCGTCACAAACAGGCTTTTTTAAAAAACAGTTAGCCCTTGCTGTTCCCCTGGACCATTATTCTAAATTAGACCATTATTCTAAAGTCCCGCCAGATGAACCGCCGCCTGACCCCCCCCCCCATACCAAATGGACTTCACTTCGAGAGGATTCTTCAGCAACGGACAACCCCGCTCCACCCGAAGAGGACCCCAGTGATGAGACTCTATATGGACTGAGACACTTTCTTCAAATTATTTTCTTCACCATTGCGGACTATTGTAACAGGTTTGTGTGTATCTACCTTCTTTCTCTCTCAACATTGCGAACCCCCTCCCTCCCCTTCCCCCATCCCCCCTGCTTAGTTGGCTATCATTGTATTTTCTGTAACCTAGTTGCATTCCCCTCCTCACCTCCATCCCTCTGTTAGTCCCTCGCTCGGGCAATTTGTATTTCCCTACCAGATTTGTCATCCTTTTTGGATTCACAATCCTAAACTTTTACTAGTAAAAGTCAATCTACTTTACCTACAAGTCAATTCCTAAAAGCAAATTTCTAAATATAATTTTCTAGTCATCAGCTGCACACAGCACAAGGTCAGTCAAAGGACATGTACTGCATGCAGCACCCAGCACACTGGCTTTGAGGCCAGTCCAGATCAGGCTGCACTGAAATCACTACACAAGGCTGGTCCAGCAGGGTGCTACATGCAGCCAGCACCCCAGGCCCTGTGTTGTGTATAGCACCAGATCCAGCTTGTGCACCACATGCAGTGAGAGCCCCAGAGTAGGATCAGCATGTGCTATATGCAGCATGCAACCCAGCATCCCAGGCACTGCATGCAAGAGAGGGTCAGTCCAGATTCAGTCTGTAGACTGGCTCAGCAACCCTCACCCTACCTGTAACGTCAGGTAAGTTGGACATCCCTGTTTAGTTTTTTCGTGTGTAAAACTCTAGTCTTGTTGCTTAGATTTTTTTTTTTTTAAAGTTAAAAACTTACTCCTCCCTGTTCCAATAGGTAGAGCAATGCAACCTGGAGAACTTAAGGCAAGTCTGGGCACACATCCTTTTGGTTGGGCATGGCACCTGTGCAAATATGCAGTGGTGTCCACGTACTGTGCAGCTTTGGGGCCAGCAACCCCCCTCCTTTCCCCTCTCTTCCAACATGGCCCACCAGGTTTCTGGCCCCAGGCCATTTCTAAATCAGACAGCCTTGGTCTAGGAAATATGGGGGGGGGGGAGGAATGGAGTTGGAGATATTTACTGGATCAACTACATCTTGAAAACATTGCGTCCTTCCTCAGGTCTAGTAAAGCAGGAAACACCTTTGAGCTACATCCGGACTCGTACTGCATCTGCTTCTTCACCACAACTGAGGAAAGACCCTCTGGACCTGAACACTTGTCTAACATCTCCCCAAAATGTGCAGTTGGTCCAATAAAAGGTATCACCAAAGCAAATCCTTGCCAATACGACACTTAAACATTCAGATAACTTCCTAAGCACTAAAAGAAGTAACAAATTTCCATAAAAAAATCTCCCTCAACTCAGCTCCATCCAGCTCACCTTCCATGATGGGCCAGAGACCTTATACAGGGCAGTTCTTCTATACAGTGGAAACTTTGAAGTTAATTACTGTTATAAACATATTTTGCCCTCTCTCAAAATAAAGTGTTTTCCTAGTTTATTTTGTATGTTATTCTACAAATAGACCTTCATGTTCCCCAGCAGCCCAATAACCTCTCAATATGTCCTCCCATTCAACCCCAGGGAAGAAAAAGAGGCTCAGTGAGCCAAAATGTGGATCTCAACGGAGAGCCTGGCAAACAACATAAAAACCAGAAAGAACAAACAGATTTAAATAGAAGCAACTTTAATAAATAGAAATAATCAAGAGTAATTCTTAAAAATGTGTTAACAAGTCATATCAAGCATGTTTTCCATTATGTTAATCCCTTAACTCACTTTTTATGTTTCATCTTGCTACACCTGAACCTTGCATACACAGGGGTAGTCCTCTTCATGTACTCTCATCTCCCTGCATCTCTTAAGTTTGCAGGTCTTAAGAACAGCAACATTTATTCCTTCCTTTTCCTCAGACAGCTATTGGATGTCTCTGTATCACTCCGTAGAAAAAATAATATGAATAGGCTTCTACCTGAAATCCAGAAATTAAAAAAAAAAAAGTAGTCAGCCCTGGGGCCCTAAAGATCCAGCATCCAATACTCGCTTCAGTTTATTTCTGTACTTTTTTTGGTAGACTGATGCAATTAAACAAGCTAACTTCCCCACCCCCATCTTGTTTTCAGACACAAAAGGTAACAAAAAAAGCTTCTGCAGCCATTTTCATGCACAGTAAGGAAACAATTGTTTGCATCCAGTCTAGGATTAACTCTACAGAGAAAGAGTTACTCCACTCTCAAGCATGCAAAGTGCTACCAAAACCTGGCACTGACTGGCACTAGAACAGTATCAGGAGTACCAGGAAACACTGACAGCACATTTCTCTCCCAGTAGTGTAACACTAGCACAGGCACAGAACTGCACTGGGCAGCTGACAACTGCTGGATTAAATCAAGACACCTTCCATGCTTTGAAAATTCTACAGGAAACCCCCCTCATATGGGCCTTCCTTCAAACTGTGTGCATCTGACACCTCATCCCTTGATTCCTGACTCAGTGATCAATGCTTCTTCTAATCATCTGATATAAGCCGCTGCTGAAAGGGAATCAGCTGGTGGTTCCCACCAAGGAAGTATTGATCTCAGCAAGCAGACATCTAGATACCAATGAAGGCTATTCAGTTGCTAAACATGGCAGACTACCCACAGCACTTTGTGCATCCATAGGGACATTTAAGCCAGGCCATTTTAAAGGTGCTTCCCTCACCCATAATTTAAATATATGAAAAAATTCTAATCTACACATTTCTTCCTGTGTGAGCTGCTTCCTGGGACAGAGTTAAGAAAACGAGATGCAGCTTTCTGCTGAAGACAGAACTACATGTGCTTCATTTGAGTTTTGGTAAAACCCAAGAGATACCTTGAATGTCTAAGTAAGAGTTACCGGTTGAGCCTCAATTTTCCAAAAACCCTCTCTGCCACCAGAGCGCCTTTGTGCACGTTGATCCCTTCACAGCTGCAGATACCCTTAAACAAAGCAGACAGACAGGTCAACTCAAGCTCCTGCGTTAAGAACACACCGGTGTGAATGAACACTGGTACCGGCAGCTGCGCTACGAGGGGGAGGGGGGGGGGGGGGCTGCTCCCGCAACCGACCTCTCCCACGAGCTGCCCACAGGCAGCGGGGCTGGGCTCGGCCCTTGGCCCGCGCTTCACTGCTGGCCAGCGGCGAACAGGGCGGTGCGACACTGACCCCCCCGCGCCCCGCTCTTGCACCGCACCGCACCGCACCGCTGAGAGCCCCCGAGACGCGAGACCGC